TTTTCTAGTTGAATTATTCACTTATATTGCATATGATCCATTAAATTTGTATTTTATATGAACACTAACTTATGAAAATTGACATGTACTAGAGGTGAGGACCCCCTATCATAGATTTGTGGGGGGGGCACTTGCACCAGCCCTGATTTTAGTGATAGAATCATAAACCAGTGGGTTGAAGTAGCTAATGTTGGCCTTAGAATGGGATCTAATACCAATTTCATATGGCCTCAAAAATACATACTCTGATTGACAATACTGTCGAGGGCCGTAAGTGATATGACAAAGGATGGGGGCCATATGAAATTTGACTGTGGGCCATAATTGGCCCCTGGGCTGGACTTTGGATATGCCTGATTTAGATACATTGTATTTATGTTCAATTTTTCTAGTTGAATTCTTCACCTATATTGCATATGATCCATTATTGTACATAATTAAGTTAGAATAAAATTTGTATTTTATATGAATTCTACCTTATGAAAATTGAGATGTAGTAGAGTTGGGAGTTACTGTATCATAGATTGGTGAGGGAGAGACTGTTGCACCGCCCTATATATATATATATATATATATATAAGCAAATATATGGTTATAGATCCGACAGTATGAAGAAAAATATATACGGAAAAAACAAACAAAAATTCTTATATACAATTATGCTGTTTTAATGTTAATATGTTTTAATGTTAATTTATTAGACCGAATCTCCGACGTTAACATATTAACATTAAAACAGCATAATTGTATATAAGGATTTTTGTTTGTTTTTTCCGTATATATTTTTCTTCATAAATATATATATATATATATATATATATATATGTGTGTGTGTGTGTGAACATTGAAGACAACACTTAGAGGCGACAGGCTGTTTCATGCCAGACAATTGCATCTATGGGATAAAGTGCTCTATCTCTGATATTGAGCAATTTATCCCATAAATAGAGCACACCTTAAGAGTATATTTCTTATATACTCTCCTCTATGGCTGCGAATATTGGACAATCTTATCACAGACTACTAGATTGGAAGCCACAGAAATTTGGTTCTAAAAATGAAAAGTCAATCGTCAATTTCTTGAATCCTGTTCATCTTTTGTCATTTCCTCAATCAGAGAAGCAAGGGAGTTCCACTGCCAAGAAAAGAAACTGTTGGAGTAGAATTGGTGGTTACATTTAACTATTTCAACAGTAAAAGGGTGGGACCTAAATGCCAATCTAGCAGCACGCTTGTTTATTGGTTTACTGAACAGTGATTCATTTGGCATTGTTGGGGTTTTAATATTTCGTAAGATATGACATTTTTCGGGCCTCTACATAAACTCTCCTATTGAATTTGGTATAGCGTCTGGAACAGCGTTTCTTAACCTTTTTACTCTTGCGTAATCCTAAAGATAAATTATATGTCTCAGGGAATCCCTACGCAAAAACAAAATTATATTCCATATTTTTCACTTTTTATTTTTATCGTAATTCACATGGTAAATATCATAATATATATTTTTGAAGAACTGGTTTAAGGAAAAATTAATACTTCTTTATTAAATTTTTCGGTAATGCTGAAAATAAAATTCATACTGTTCGTTTGTAATACTTCATCCGGGAGTTTTCATTCACACACACACACACACAGAAAAATTCTACACTCAAACGTAAAAAATAAACATAAGTAAGGAATATTTTATACCTATAATATAAATGTAAACAGCACGAAAACAGATGATTGCTGCATCAGTTATTTTTTAAGTTTTTTATCCTTTACTGTCAATGTTGAAATGACATAAGGTAAATCAAGGCAAAATGTCATGTGAACTAATAAATGGGCTAAGAATTTTTTTATTAACCCAATAGTTTAAATAGAATGATGTCGATTTTACAATAACCAAAAATATATTGTGTATATTATTTACATTATTCGGACTATTGTCCTCATCTTTGTCGCCATATTTATTACAACGTTCCGGCCGTTGTACGCTCCGGCCTTCTTCAGGTGGTTGGAATGTCGGACTGGACCCTTTATTTCGCTCACTGGGGTAGACTGTTCTAGTTCCACGTGCCATGTTTAATGGATGTCAGTTATCAGTTATCTCCCGTTAATTTCCTTCTGAAAGTTCTCCTTCTTAGCCGGGTATTGAACTCACACTCTTTGGGTCCTGTCACTGGATCTAACTAACGTCTATATCCACTGTGCCATGTGTCCTTGTAATAAATATGGCGACAAAGATAAGGACAATAGTCCGAATAATGTAAATAATGCACATAATACCTCATCTCAGAAATATAGACAGATATATTGTGTATGTTTAGTAATATTACGTATGTGAAATTAAATAAAATGTCAAAAGTGCATTAGCTTATCTCCTCTGTTCACGCAGAACACTTAGGGATCTTTTGCGGAACCTTAGGGTTCCGGAAAACCCCGGTTGAGAAATGCTGGTCTGGAGTCAACTAGGCATTCGTTCCTGTTTCGTTTATCTTTTGTACGAGTTACGATATCATTTGTGTTTCTTGCTCTTGTATTCGTCGATGTTTCTGCGGGATTATTGTCTTAGAATCTTCCATTTTGGTGTGAATTCGAAGACTTCATCGCCACTGTTATAATGTCGTTCTTATTCAGAATAGTCAAGAATTAGGAAGGCTGTAATTAGAGAGATTATCGAACGAATAGAAAATTCGGTGGAGGAAACCAAGAGGAGGCTGATTAAATACTTATCCATAGAACGGATCATCTACTCCTCAAATCCTACATATTTACCAACCTCCACACAAAACAAGATGTGGCACAAGGTCACTTTTTAATGTGTGGTATTCCGAGCCCATAGGCTCGAGCAGAAATTGACCGTAGACCCCGTATATAAAGGTCGGGTTTGTCGACCTCCCCAAACGAGACTCTGCAGAGCCTCGTTTGGGTTCCTCTCCGCTCGAAGGCAGAGAATTCGATAAGAGAGTAAGAGAAATCCTTCTCCTCCTCCTCCTCCTCAAATCCTAGTATTTACCCAAGACCCTCCCCAAAAGGTGGGATGTTGCATAAGGCCGTTTTTAATGTAGGGTTATTCCGAGTCCGTAGGTACGGGCAAAAATTCCCCTTGTTAACGGAGTCGAGTTTTTCTACCTCCCCAAACGAGACTCTGCCCTTCGGCATAGCCTCGTCTGGGTTCCTCTCCGCCCGGAGGCAGAGAGTTCGATAAGAGAGGAAATAAAAGCCTCCTCCTCCTGAAATCCTACTCAAATGTAGCTACTACTTGTCGTATTTATAAGTAGGAGCAGTCCATTATCGGAGTAGTAGGGAAGAACAGGAAGTACGCCGAGTCTAACACTACAGCAATCCTCTTCTTCCTCTATTTCTTTGTGCGCGAGTGAGGTTTATAAGATTTCGACTCAGCAATCGTCGTGGAGTTAAAATACATATTAGTTGCCATAGCAACGCGAGTAAATGGGGTGTAAAATAATAATTTCAAAATGGCACTCATTATGGCGTCTGCAAGAAGCAAGAATTCACAACTGGACAATTTTGTCACTCGAGATTATTTTTATTTTTACTTATTTATTTTTAACCGCAGATTATGCTGAAAGCTTGTTAGCACACGCACGAGAGAAAGAAAAGGATGAATGTAATTCCGATAAACATGCTCGGATTTTTTTCTTTCTTTTTTTTAACATTCTCAAACCAAGGATTCTTTAATCTTAATTTCACTTGCTTTTTATCACAACTATTTAGACATCATTCGAAAGCCATGAATAGTAATATTATCGTGAATTTTGTTTTTATTCCTGATTTTCATTGCATTCCTATAGTAAAATCATTAGCAATGCATTTCCATTATACATATAATAGCCCTATTCTATCAGTAATGCTTGCCTTCATTCCTGACCACTGACAATCCCTTTCTACTTGATTTTCAATGAATTCCTATAGTAAAATCATTAGCAATGCATTTCCATTATACATGTAATAGCCCTATTCTATCAGTAATGCTTGTCTTCATTCCTGACCACTGACAATCCCTTTCTTCCTGATTTTCAAAGCATTTCTATAGTAAAATCATTAGCAATGCATTTCCATTATACATATAATAGCCCTATTCTATCAGTAATGTTTGCCTTCATTCCTGACCACTGACAATCCCTTTCTTCCTCATTTGCAATGCATTCCTATAGTAAAATCATTAGCAATGCATTTCCATTATACATATAATAGCCCTATTCTATCAGTAATGCTTGTCTTCATTCCTGACCACTGACAATCCCTTTCTTCCTGATTTTCAAAGCATTTCTATAGTAAAATCATTAGCAATGCATTTCCATTATACATATAATAACCCTATTCTATCAATAATGCTTTCCTTCATTCCTGACCACTGGCTCTTGTGAAGGTAGAGGGTAGCATGAGATGTCAGGTAATTACATTTTAAAATATATCCTAATTAAATCCTACCTATGATATCCTAGTCTTCCTAAACAACTGCTAAGAAAGAGAATTGTTGATGGTGCCATTTTGGTGATGGTGCCTGATGCGTTCGTACGGATGCCTGCGGCGATAAAACTAACATTATCTCCCAACAGCAGCCATCCAAGCTGTCTGGAATCAGGGTTTCAGAATTGCGTGGTGACGTGGGAAGGGAAATACGTTAAGGCTGGAGAAGTTTGCATATTTCCTCAAATCATCCATCCATTTCCTCACATTTGTTCATCGAATACGCTCAATCATTTCTTGAGGATTCATTGAATTCTTCATATCGCTCTCCCTCATTCCCTCTCCTTCATTCTCTCTCCCTCATTCCCTCTCATTCATTCTCTCTCCCTGTATGTCTGTTGTTTTGTATAGTTTTATCTGATAGTGCACATGTTGGCCTGTCTGTACTAGGCTTTTTGCATCTGTTTGTTTATCGCAGTCAGTTTACGTCTTTTTATTCGGGCCAGTTGACACAACTCTACCTATCTCAGCCTTTTGCGATCTCTCTGCCTGTCCCATTCAGTTGATACCTCTCTATCTGTCCCATGACTGTCCCACGGATTTGGTGCCTGTCCCGTCCATTCGGCGTGCCTGCCTGCCTGCCTGCCTCGTCCATTCGGCGTGCCTCTTTACCTGCCTGTCCCGTCCATTCGGCGTGCCTCTTTACCTGCCTGTCCCGTCCATTCGGCGTGCTTCCCTGCCTGCCTGTCCCGTCCATTCGGCGTGCCTCTTTACCTGCCTGCCTCGTCCATTCGGCGTGCCTCTTTACCTGCCTGTCCCGTCCATTCGGCGTGCCTCTTTACCTGCCTGTCCCGTCCATTCGGCGTGCTTCCCTGCCTGCCTGCCTCGTCCATTCGGCGTGCCTCTATGCTTGCCTGTCCCGTCCATTCGGCGTGCCTCTATGCTTGCCTGTCCCGTCCATTCGGCGTGCCTCTCTGCCTGTCTCGGCTAGTTGTCTACCGGAACCGGCTAGTTGGTGTTTCTCTCTTTCTCTATCCCATCCAGTTGGTGTATCTCTGTCTGTAGCATGCAGTTCCTTTGTCTCTCCCTGGACTCGGCAGGTTTGCTGTCTCTCTCCGGGACTGTCCCTATCTATCCGTTTGTTAATTTGTTTTACCTTCTCTGCCTCGCTAATCTAATCTTACTAAATACTCTGTCATATACGAGAACAGTCGAATGGATGAAACTCCAGACTGGTAAAGAATAGAGAGAAAAAAACACTCAATGGAAGCCTGGTGGGGGAGGTAGTGAGAGAGAGAGAGAAAAAACGTATTTCTTGGGGAAATGTTCTTAAGGGATGTGTTTCTTGAAATACCAGACAGACATGTTTGTTTATGTTGTACCCTGAGATGTCCATATGAAATAGATATTATTTCAGCGATTTGGGGGCCTACCTACTGCGCAAAAGTCTGGCCGCCTGGCGCTCCCATTACTACTTGACTGACAAATCTCTGCCCAAACTCTAAGTAGGCAGATGCAGGGAATTTTTTTTTAATTTTGTTTTTATTATTATCTACTTTCTTTTTTCAGACCGATAATTTATTTTAAGTTCGACTTGATATACCCTTTTCCTGTAGGGGAGGGGGTGAGTTTCAAACAATTATCATTTGAAAGAAAAACGATTAATCTATAAAACAGATTACCATTTTAACTGATATACAGTAAATAATTGTAGCGAGCAAAATATATATTTGGGTGTGCGTGTATTTATACGCGTACACAACGCCCAAATGTTTGCGGCATTTGAAATGAAAATACTTTTAAGTTCCTCCAATGATGAAGAAATTGAATAATAAATGCTGGATTTTTGCGTTTCCATTTCGCCAGATCGCCATTTAGGATGATTACTGAAAAGATCCCCGTTCGACTTCGTTTCTACAATAAATGTCTTGGTGATTGAAATATTCTTCTTGGAAGAATTAATTAGGGTGATAACTTTTTCGATACTCATTAAATATTAAGGAGTACTTTTTTTTTTCTTTTTTTTTTTTTTACAATGATGTTCACCCTGTGCAGGCCCGGGATCCACTAGAGGTAGAACTAACAATAATACAAAAACTGTGTGTTGAAGAGTTAACAAAATACTGGATCTCTGTTGTTATTTTTTATTTTATATTAATTTTTGTCTAATTTCGAAACGTTAGCTCTGACACTAGTGGTAAATGCTGCAAAATGCGGCGTACAAGTCGACCTCAATATTTTTCGCTTAAAATTCTAAGCTCGGCCTATATCTACCGTAAAAGTCGACCTACAAATATCCGGTGATACAAAACCTAAGTCAACCAGTAAATGAAGTTACACGATAAATTGTGACATAACTACACAAGGTCACACCACTTCCTGTATATGGAGACACTATCAGTAATATCTTTCTATATGCGTTGTATAGCAACCTACCTACAACACACAACAGTTGGTATCATATATTGTATTGGTATAATTCGATACTCATTAAATATTAAGGAGTACTTTTTTTTCTTTTTTTTTTTTTTACAATGATGTTCACCCTGTGCAAGGCCCAGAGCCACTCGAGGTAGGACATTAAAGAAAAGAGGCAAATTTTATACAGATATGAGAAGATAACAATTAACCCTAGATTTCAACAGGTTAAGATGTAGCGATTGGGAAGCATCCTCTTGGGAGTCGGATGCATGCAGTATTGGTACTCTTCTGTGGCAGTGAAATGCGAAGAAGTTGCTTCAACAGAAACAAAGAAAAGAGTACTGAACTGTTATGTAATATCAGTCCTCCTATATGGCAGTGAATGCTAAACAATCTCCTTACAGATGAAGAAGAGACTTGAGGCAACAGAAACCAAGGAAACAGTACTGAATTCTTATGTAATATCAATCCTACTATATGGCAGTGAATGCTGGACAATCTGCTCACAGATGAAGAGACTTGAAGCAACAGAAACAAAGAAAAGAGTACTGAACTGTTACGTAATATCAGTCCCCCTATATGGCAGTGAATGCTGGACAATCTCTTTACAGATGAAGAAGAGACTTGAAGTAACAGAAATGTAGTTCTCCAGAAGGATGCTGAGAATACCATGGACAGAACATGTGAATGATGACGACGCTCGGGAGAAATGGACACTTAACAGCCGAAAGAGGCAGCAGAAATATATGTCGTTTCATTTGCAAGGCAATTGTGGATACTTATTGTCCCATTAAGCCCGCAATACTGATGACACATTACTCGTGTGAAATGTCATATGATCATAACCATAAATTATTATTGTATTTTTGTTTCATAGTTACAGTCTGGTCAACATTTATGGCTACAGGGTTTGGCGGCGGGGGGGGGGATGTTCTGCAAGTCCCAGTTTTAGAGAAAATGGAAGAAAAACGGATACATATATTTGACATCAGGAAGAGAGGGTTGAAAATTTATATGGCATATAATGAGGACAGTGGGCTTGGAAAATTTGATATTGACAAGAAAATATTGAAGGCAAGAGAGAGAACAGCAACGCAAAAACCTTTCTAGTGAGTGAATAAATGGATGGCAGAACAGGGTTTAGGAGAGATAACAAAAAGGCGAAATTTATTAAGAGCTGCAAAGGAGAGAAAATCGTGGAGAACCGTGATCGCCGACGCTCTGAAGGGATACGACATATAGAAAAATGAGTGAGTAAATGGATGGGGAAATAGGTTTAAGAGAGATGACAAAAAGACATTTGTTAAGAGCTATAAAGGACAGGAAATCGTGGAGAGTCATGATCACCAACGTCCTGAAGGGAAACGGCATATAGGGCGTCGGTCCTAGTACAAGGGTTAGTGAACTAATATCACAGAAAAAATGGGAAAAAAAATTGGGCGCTTCTCTTGGTGTAGCCTTGTGCCAAACTATTCAAAAATATATATATATATATATATATATATATATATATATATATATAAAAAGGAAGTAAGAAAGAAGAAAAATGAAGCAAAACAGGGAGAGAATTTGACGGTCGAAGACAGGTGTGAGCTACCAAGACATGGGTCGGAAGGGAGGAATTGGTTGTATGTTGAGTGTTCCCTGGACAAGTACTGTGTTGGGTTGGTAGGTTTTCTTTTTCTAATTGTCCATAACGCTCCCCTCTTCTCGCACTTCACGTAGAAACATGTGCACAGACATTCCATTTTGAACCTCTCCCAAATATCAGGGATAGAAATCACAGGAGCGGTGTGCAAGAAAGAAATGTAAAATAAAAAAAATTAAAAAAGACTGAAATTGAAAAAAAAAATTGATATTTAAAAAAAAAAAAAAAAAATATATATATATATATATATATATATATAAACGGCGTAGAAAATACCTGGAAATTTCTGGACTGTACTTAAATTATTCGGAGATTCTTTTTTTTTTTGCATTAACGACAAACCAAAATCTGTCTCGCACATTTATAAGTTTACTATTCGTCCATTCACTGAATATTGCTGCCATATCCGGTCTGGTGCTCTTGTTGGGAGAAATTAAAAACGATCTGCAATATAATCGATCCTGACCTGACATCTCGGCTTCCGTCACCTTCTCATCGACGTCACGTGGCTTTTCTACAAATATTTTCATGGCAACTATATTCATATAAAATAAGAAAATATAAACACAAATTCATAATTCTCTTAACGCTACATCAAACATGGCTTGTTTGTTTACATCTCTGGTGCAAATGGCGGAGTGATGATAGCGTGTTTTACAATAACATACGATACGTAGCAGGACTATAAAAAACACAACCTCTTCTGGTGTGTAATCTAAGGTATTAATATTTTATAAGAGTCGATGTTGACTTTCATGTGATTATCAGTTGATCTGACAAATTTTAAATGTCCGATAAGTTATACCGATACAATATATGATACCAACTGTTGTGTGTTGTAGGTAGGTTGCTATACAACGCATATAGAAAGATATTACTGATAGTGTCTCCATATACAGGAAGTGGTGTGACCTTGTGTAGTTATGTCACAATTTATCGTGTAACTTCATTTACTGGTTGACTTAGGTTTTGTATCACCGGATATTTGTAGGTCGACTTTTACGGTAGATATAGGCCGAGCTTAGAATTTTAAGCGAAAAATATTGAGGTCGACTTGTACGCCGCAATTTGCAGCATTTACCACTAGTGTCAGAGCTAAAGTTTCGAAATTAGACAAAAATTAATATAAAATAAAAAATAACACAGATCCAGTATTTTGTTAACTCTTCAACACACATAGATTTTGTATTATTGTTAGTGTCTCAATGTACAGTTAACTGGTGTGACCTTATATAGTTTTGGCACAGGTTATCGTATATTATAACCCGACTTCATTTACCATTAGACCTAAGTTTTGGGCCACTGGTAGCCTATCGTGTGTTTGGGGGTCGACCTATACTCGGACGTCCTGGGTATGACGATAAGCTACATCTGCTTCCTGGGTATGACGATAAACTACGTCCAACAGCAAGGCCTCTGACCAGGGGGTTTTGAGGAGCGTGGAACCACCTTGTAATTGCTGTTGTTCTCAGGTCCACTCTGATCCGGGGTGGTAGCACCTGTTAGGGAACCAGCTATGGGCAAATAATTAACCTTCAAACTGAGGTCAAAACACTATGAAAGTGTAAAAAATATGTTTTATTACCAGAAATAGATTTTTGAAAAAAAAATATTGCCAACAATAAAAATTATCGGCATTAAATAATCTATTGAGGTTGATATGCCGTAAACCAAACCAAACCTGTATACGGCCTAACTTTGAATTTTGAGCTAAAAATGTTATGGTCGACATATACACCGCGGTATCTGTCTATATTTCTGAGATGAGGTATTATGTACACTATTTACATTATATGGACTATTGTCCTCATCTTTGTCGCCATATTTATTACAACGTTTCGACAGTTGTACGCGCCGGCCTTCTTCAGGTGGTTGGAATGTCGAACTGAACACTTTATTTTGCTCACTGGGGTAGACTGTTCTAGTTCGACGTGCCATGTTTAATGGATGTCAGTTATCAGTTATCTCCTGTTAATTTCCCTCTCCAAGTTCTCCACTGCCTTAACTAGGTATTGAACTCACACTCTTTGGGTCCTGTCACTTGATCTAACCAATGCCTTTATCCACTGTGCCATGAGGACCTGGAACTAGAACGGTCTACTCCAGTGA